GGGTTTGGGGGCACCTACGGACAATATATGGCATTTGGGGTCATCTGTGGGCGTTTGTGGTCATCTGTGAGCATTTGGGGACACCTGTGGGCACTTGGGGTCATCTGTGGACACGTAGGGACAGATAACGGGCATTTGGGGACACCTACGGACAATAGATGGCATTTGGGGTCATCTGTGGGCGTTTGGGGACAGATAACAGGCATTTGGGGTCATCTGTGGACATCTGGGGTGAGCTGTGGGCATTGTGGTCATCTTTGGACATGTAGGGACAGATAACGGGCATTTCGGGAACCCTTTGGGCATTTGGGGACAGATAATGGGCATTTGGGGTCATCTGTGGGCATTTGGGGACACCTGTGGGCATTTCGGGTCATCTGTGGGCGTTTGGGGACAGATAACAGGCATTTGGGGACACCTGTGGGCAACTAGGGACATCTATGGATATTTGGGGACAGATGTGGGCATTTGGGGACCCCTATGGCATTTGGAGCCATTTGTGGACAATTAGGGTCATCTGTGGGCATTTGGGGACATCTATGGGCATCTGGGGACACCTGTAGACATTTGGGGACACCTGTAGACATTCAGGGACCCCTATGGGGACCTGAGGACCCCTATTGCACTTGGGGACATCTATGGACATTTGGGGACACCTGTGGGCATTTGGGGCCATCTGTGGACAATTAGGGACATCTATGAACATTTGGGGACCCCTGTGGCACTTGGGGACATCTGTGGGCATTTGGGGACAGATATGGGCACTCAGGGACACCTATGGACTCTTGGAGACACCCATAGGCATTTGGGGACACCTTTCAGGACACTTATGGGCACCGGAGGACCCCTATGGCACTTGGGGACACCTGTGGACATTTGGGGTCATCTATAGGAACCCCAGGGGCCACCTCTGCCATTGTGCTGGGGGTCAGTAGGACCCTATTAGGACACGAAGCCATTTGGGGACAACGGGAGACCCTTGGGGACCCCAGGGGCCATTTGGGGACCCCTGGTGACACTGAGTGCCCCGTACCTGCCATCATGTTTACCCACGGGCTCATCGTAGTGGATCCCCACCCAATGTCCGGGTTTGAAGTCAGTCAGCCCTGCAGGGAGGAAGGGAGGAAGGGAGGCAGGGAGGGGGGAAGGGAGG